TTTAGAGATTAACATTTTAATAGCGAATTAATTCAATAAAATATCACATACATGTTTAGTTGTTCAAAAAATTGACGTAAGTTAAAATGTAAAATTATATAATAATAGAAAGTGTTGTAAAATTAATAACTTTAGGAACTCCTGAAGATGCTCCGAAAGGAGCGAAACCGGTAGAGTGATAATAAACACATTTCACCTTTAAGTGCAAAATTTGTTTAATTGAATTCTAGTTTTAGGTGTAGTGTTAGTTCTAGTGATAGTGCTAGTGCAAAACTAGAACCAACACTAGACCGAGAACTAGAAACATTCGAGTTTAGCCGTTTTAAGAGACGTTCGGCTAAACCTGAATATTTCTAGTTCTAGATCTAGTATTAGTTCTAACGATAGTGATTCTTTGTTGATTCTAGTGAATAGATATTTATTTTTGGAGTCCAATTTCCTTCGAAATTCAATGAAATACATATTTCAAACATTTTATTTTCGCAATTTTCTTCATGTTTAAATGTACACCAACAAATTTTCTTATTTATAGTATAAATTAGAATTCTCTTAAAGCAAGATGCTTAATGGAACCTGCAGAATTTACTAATGCGGCGACAGGAAACCGCACGCCAGAAGGAAATTTCTAATTCCAACGAGGCAACAACCCTAAGGGCGTCTTATTCTCAATTTTCCATGCCCGAAAACGCCAAGTAATTTCTCGTCAACGACACACCCACGGAAATTTAAACCGTCTTTTAGTGTGTTTCAAATCTCAACTATTTATGGCGTAATTTTATTTTGCAAATTTAAGCCGTCGTAAATCTGGTGTTGTCTTTAGACCAAAAACACCTTATCTGTTATATAAAAAAGAACGCGCGGATTTCAAGTTTTCCTTTTCTTTGTTTCTTTCGAAGGCAATTTTATCTAAGAGTGTCATAGGTCAAAAAAGAAACAAAAAAAAAAAAAGAAAAAGAGGGAGTCGCCATAATTAGGGCTCTTTTAGACACCTTTTACAGTAAAGATCCCGATTGCAACCTTTTTATCCCCTCGAAAAAGAATGTAGAGATCATCTTAGCTCTTGCGAAACAGCAATTAACTTCTTTGAAAGGATTTTATAATTTCTATTAATGATTAATTTTTTTTTCTTTTCAGAAAACCAAAGTAAACGATGCGTAATTCGATTTTATGCATCAGTTTAATAATCGTCGCTTTAAATTTTTGCGCCGGTGAAGAGAAACGAGCTCCGACCGGATTCACCGCTTTGCGGGGCAAAAAAAATCCAACCGAATATGTGCTCGATGATGTTGCGGCGAATTATAAGAAACTTTTTGATTCGAAGACATCGGACGCCGAAAATTGGGCGCCTTCCTTATTATGGTTTGATCTCCCTTATTACAAAAGGGTTCCTTCTGGTTTCTTCGGATTACGCGGAAAAAAATACTTCGATTTGCCCCTTGAGGAAACAAATAAGCGCATCCCAACCGGTTTCTTCGGAATGAGAGGAAAGAGATACTTCGACGATGAAGATTTGGATGAATCATACAACAAAAGGATTCCATCTGGATTTTGGGGAATGAGAGGGAAACGATTTTATAATTTGATTTTTGATGATATACAAAGAGCTCCTGATAGTAGATTTTTTGGGATTAGAGGAAAACGCCAACCGAACACAAAGAGCTTTTTTGGGATGAGAGGAAAGAAATACGATGTTAGAGGAAAATTCGTTGGGGTTCGAGGAAAAAAATCGATGGAAAATTTAGTTCCGGATCTTTTCGACGATGATTCTTCATCAAGATACGACGATCTCGATTTGAATCAATTGATGTATATCTTGTCGCAATACGAAAGAAATTAATTCGATTATTACAAAATTTCTTTTTTAATTTACAATAACGGGACTTTTTCTATTTTTGGCTGGGTGGAAAAAGTCGCAATAATAATAAAATAAACTTGTTATTATCTCTGTGTAACTTACATATCATGTGTGAAGGTAATAATAAATAATTTAAAAAAAATAAAGATGTGATGAAAAATATAAAAAATCAGATTTTAAAAAATAAAATGATCTATCTCCTTGTATAATAATAAATTGTGTAAATTAGATTCCATTTAGAATATTATCAATAAATATATATATATGTTTAAAAATTAATTTGAGTTTTATTTCGTTTAATTCCAATAATAATTAAATTAAAAATAATTGATATCGAATTGAAACGTTTATATCCATTTCACTTTGAAAACAATGTAACATTAACGTCACAACACATTACAAAGCTTGTTTTAGCTCGATTCAGTTTTGAACACAAAAGAATTTGAACAGCCGGGCAGATATTTTCCCTGAACAAGCATTATCCCTGTGACGTATGCAATATTAGCACAATATTTCATTGTGCACTATTTACAAAGAAAATAATGATTCGACATTTCATAATTTATTTACAATAAATTATGGGTCTCATTTAAGTTGTTCGTATTTAAGGTTATGTAGTGTATGGTAATTTACTTCTGAATTTAAATTAAATTATTCTGAGGAGTTCAATTTAGATTCGGGATGTACTTCGAATTTTCAAATAATTAAATTATTTTAAATATCCTGCATTTTTCTCTCAAAATTTGTTTAATCCAAATCGATCATATTTTATTATTCCGCGATCAATTAATCAATGAATAAGTGAAATTAATAGATCAATAAACGAGTTTTAATATCGTTTACACTTAAAATTAGTTTAAAATTGATAAAAACTTACCCAAAAGAATTAAAACTTGAGAACAATCAAATTAAAACTAACTGTCAATCGAATTGTCAGAAATAATTAGCTGCAACTTCAGAGTTGTTCATAATTTAGTATTAAAATTAAATACTGTTTTTATTTTGCGCTTAAAATTAAACGAAATTAATTAATTTTAATGATTTATATTAATTTTAAAAAAATTTGAAACTATTTGTTATTAATTAAATAATTTTAAATAAATTTATTAAGTTGCGCCATCTATTAATAGATTTACAAACTATTATCAGAAATTTTGCAAGAATACTTTAATTAATTGAATTATTTAAATAAAATAGATATTAATTAACCATTATACTGGGAATTTCATAGAACTCGCAATATATGAATTCAATAACCATAATTACGAAACTTATTTTACTAATATAATAATATAACTTATTTTTACTAATGTTACATTTGCACTGTTATTAGAACTAACATTAGACCTAGAACTAGAATCATTTGAGTTTAACCGCACGTCTCTAAAGATGGCTAAACCCGATTTAAATTAAAAATTTAAAGTAATCTTTGTAAAAATTAGAAATTATAAAGCTATTTTTACCTAAATCCGATTTTAGCGCCATCTCTATTTAGTGCTCAGTTTTAATAGTTTAATATTTATTTCTAACGCTTTTCAACATGAGAAAATTAATTATTAATTAATTAAACCATATTTATAATCAATTGCATAATTAATTTTCTTTATTAACATCTTAAAAATTCAATAAAAATTTTAAGACATTGATATTTGGAGCGCCATCTCGGTTTATTGTTGCGTAATAACATAATATTTGTGATTTACTGTCACCACCTTTATCATCTTCCCATTTTCATCATAATAAGATGATTATTTGGTGGAAATAATCATCTTATTACGTTTTTATACGAAATATATTTTAATTTAATTCAGAATTATATTTACTTAATGTCGCCTCTTAGCGCCATCTCTGTTTAGCGTTCAGTTTTAACGAGCGGATTATTTTTATCGCGTCTAACTAATGTTAACCAACATTTATTAACAATACATAAAAAAATTAATTATTAATTAATTAAAAAGCTTTATAATTAATTTTCTTTATTAACAACGATAATTTTTAATGATATTGAAATTTTGAGCGCCATTTCGGTTCAGCGTTATGTACTGACATGAAAGTGTCGCCATCTTTTGCGTTTTCCCATTTTAATCAAAATATTCTAATTTTGGTGAAAATAATCATCAAACTATCCATTTTACCACATTTTATTCGTGTTCGTTGTGGTTTTTACGTTTTGGTAAGTGATTTTTTAATTTACACAAAATTTTCGTCACTTTCTTAGTTTATTCTTAGTTCAGTTTTTCTCATGCTTTTATTTTATCGCCACCATATTTATCATCTTATTTTAACATTCAAATTTCGACAAAAATTAAGTGTATTATCTATTTATAAGTGATATTATATATATTATTTAGATTACATATAAAATATGATTACATAAAGATTCCTGTATTATCGGCACCCAATTTGACAGGTAAATTAGGTTGCCTAATTTAATTTTTGATAACGCATATTTTAAATGAAAACTGAGTGAATTAATTTTACATTACAATTTGATATTGCGACAACTCGTTCTTTTGATTGAAATTGAAAATTTCGCTTGCGGTCGCATTCATATGGGTGCAAATTTATTATAACAAAAGATTAATGCATCAATGCCCTGTCATATATCACAGCTAATTTCAATTCAATTAAATTTCGAGGACCACGCTTCGTATATTGTATATATCGGAATTGTATCCGGGAGGGATTGTTATTCAAAATCGTCAGTCGATCAACTGAAATATACGCGTAAATATGACAGTGGGGGCTATTTTCCCGGTAAAACTGGATTTATTTAGCTTTAAAAATTTTAAATTGATTTTTTTACCATCTCATTATTATTATTTTCTGTTGAGGAAATTAGTTGAAAATAACCCGAGGCTTAAAAATCAACTTTTAATTGACACTGACGTTACAGAAAATTTAATCAACCTCAAACGAGTTTGTAAACTTAAATTAGCGTCAGTTATGAGCAAAAAAAAATAAAAACTAAAATCAATTTTTAAATTCTCTAATTTTTTTTTTTAATTTTGTTATTTGTGACTGAATCGAAGCGTAACGGGCAGTTTTAAACCGCGCTGGACATCATTGGTGACGCGAATTGTATTAATTAAAACCAAAACAACTAAAAAAAAAATAAAGTTCGAATGGAATTTCACGCGCTCGAATCCCTCGCGTCGTCCATCGTTTTGTTGTAAAACATTTCTGTTTCGATCGATTTAACATAAACGGTCTATTTATTTCCGGTCCGAACCCGTCACCGTTCAACATAAAAGTGCGCACACGAACATACCGCTAAATTTCAACGATTACACGTTTAAATCGTGTCTATATTTGCGGTTCTGTTGTTGTTGTTGTTGTTCTTGGTGTTTTCAGTTTTGTGGAAAATACTAAAATATAGTGAAATTCCCCTAACTCGAATCGCTAAGGGAGCGGAAGAAACTTCGAGTTAGGAAGAATTCGAGTTAAAGCAAAATTAGTTGAATTTCATCTCTAAAGAAAATAATTAGGAATGTACTTTTCTAATACGTATAATATTTAACGTTTAAACTACTTCAATAAAAATATGTAACAATCTAGCGCTGCATAACAAAAAAAAGTTGCCTTACAGAACGAATTCAAATAGTTTATTCTTTGGAAAATTCGACTCTAATTTCTTTATTCAAATTAATTCTGATATATTCTCTTACGTTTAAAGGTTATTTTTAAGAAATAACAATAAAACGAGTTAAATCCGTTCTGTAAATTTTTCTTTGTAAAAATCAGATGGGACCAATTTCGAAACGCGGTACACAGCGATGAATTTTGCACAGAATGCGCAAAGGGATCAGGGCCCCCGAATGTGTCCAACCGAGGCCCCATTAATATCCCCTCCGTTCCCTACCCGGAAACATAATTCATTATATGCAAAAATTCCCTCGGGACGTTGCAAAGAGCAATAACTGGGGGATTATTATTTTATTACTCCTAGTTGTGGTTACATTTTTTTTAATAACTCACACCCTCTTTTTTTCGTCCTACTAAACGATTTTGAACAATAAAAATGATTTATTAAATGATTTAAATCGCAAATTATTTTTTAATTAAAGCAAGAAGAAAAACATTAAAAACGATATTTCATATCATTCATTCCATGACTTCTGTCAAATATGACATTTACAACTCAAAATCCTTGTACCAACTTTACATGATCACCAACTTGGAATTTCAAAGGTTTCCATTTTTGCGTATTACCACATCTATTGTGACATATTTCTAATCATCATTAAAAATCCTTTAAAATGAGTACAAACACGATACATTTATCTTCAATATTAATGAAGATATGGTCAACTTCCGGTTAGAAATGTAAATGTAAAATTTGACATATTTGTGATCTTCATTAAAAACACTTTAAAATGAATCCAAACATGATAGGTTTAACTTCAATATTACCCGAGATATAAGCAACTTCCGGTTTTAAATGTCAATGTCATTTTGACATATTCTTAAATTTACAAACTGTCTTAAAATGTATCACAAAAAAGGAAATATAAGAAGAAAACTTAAAAATTAAAGTTGGTATTAATATTTAAAAGTTATTTTGCTAACTTCAGGTTTGACATTTTTTATTCAAACTTTTTTGTTTATCAAAATAAAAGCGTCATGTTTGGGCTCATTTGAAAGGTTATTTAATAAGGATTATAAATACATCAAAATTAAAATTGACATTAACACCATGAAGTTGTCAAACTTTGGTTTGACATGTTAACCTCAATTTTGGCGTATTTGTAATCGTCATTAAGAATCCTTTGAAATGAGTGCCAACACGACATATTTAATTTCAATATTAATGAAATTATTGTCAATTTCCGGTTTGAAATGTCAACCTCAATTTTGACATATTCGTAATTTTATCAAAATGTCTTTAAATAAACATAATTTTTCATAAAAAATGAAAATGCAAGAAAAAATCTCAAAAATTAAGGTTGGTATTAATATTTAAAAATTATGTTGCTAACTTCATTGTTGCCAACTTCAGGTTTAACATTTTTTATTCAAACTTTTTTGTTTATCGAAATAAAAGCGTCATGTTTGGGCTCATTTGAAAGGCTATTTAATAAGGATTATAAATACATCAAAATTAAAATTGACATTAACACCATGAAGTTGTCAAACTTTGATTTGACATGTTAACCTCAATTTTGACGTATTTGTA